AGACAAATCATTTGTTCATTGACAGGTTTATGATGCAACGTTGGTTGACTGCGCAATTAACAATATTACAACAAAAATGTTGAAAAGTGTCCGGTTATTGCATGACCGATACCAAAAAGTTCTGTCTGACAGGAGAATAAAAAAAAAAAGAAATGTGTTAAAAATGATGTGCCATACAGTTTAAAGAGTAAAAGGCAAAAAAAGCCACAATAGAAAAAGGATGTTGAAAGGAAAGTGGTTTTAATGTTGAAATAAGCTGTTTGTCATCCTTCATATATGATTATTAGTTACTTGCTAATTCTTGGTTATAACATGAGTGACTTGGTTTTTGCTTTTTAACAACATTTTTAATATGCTTTTATTTAGGCCATTGGTTTATTTTGTAGAATAAACTTATACCTACAAAATTAAATTTATTAATTACAAAAATATAACAGGTTAAAAAATTGTGAGACTATTTAAAGTAAAATTAGAAATTTGTATCAAGGTACCCCACCCATGGGGTACCTTAAAATCATTAAAAATGTAAATAAAAAGTACCATCATTTTAAAATCATTAAAAATGTAAATAAAAAGTATCATCATTTTAAAATCATTAAAAATGTAAATAAAGAGCATCATTGAAAATGTAAATAAAAAATATAAAACTTAGAGAAAAGGCAAATTTTTATTTGAAAGACAAACAAATGTGATTTAAACCATTTCTGAAATGTGATTTAAACCATTTCTGAAATGTGATTTAAACCATTTGATGCACAATGCATCCAATGGTTTAAATCACATTTCAGAAATAAAGATAAAATATTGTTTTAAATGTCATTCTTAAGCATCAATAAATAGTGGCTTTGTATTGAAATTGGATATCCGAATATTATATTAACATAAATCTCTTAAAAATTGACTGTAAATATTTAAAGAAATGATTTTTAGAATTGTTTATAACACAATTGAGTACTACTCTACAGTATTATATAACCCCATACTTACTAATAGCTGTATTATATTACCCCATACTTACTAATAGAAAATAATTGCTTTATTTTTTAGTATCAACTTGTTTTTTCAATAGTTTTGCCTAACGAAGTAAAGAGCGTAAAGAGTGTAGTTTACAAATTAAAGTTACTTACTGATAGACACATTGAATAGCAAACTTCAAAACTTAGCAACTTTAAAAAATTAATAAATTATTTTGTCATATAATAACAACACAAAATTTGACCTCTCACAGGCCTAATGATATCTAATGAAACAAATGAAAGTGGTTGTCACTTAACTCTTAAGATGCCCCAACAATTACTGTATTTCATGGTGCTTCACTCTCCCCTACTTATGATTTTTCGGCTTTTTTTTTACTTCATGTTTTATTTTTTTAAAAAGATGTTTAACATTTTATTGAAACTTAAAAAAATTTCTACTTTTCATGTAAAATGGTGAATTTTGTTACCTTTTTTATTACTATATTTGTTGTACTTGTGATAGATTTATATCAGAAAATCATGGAATTATCATTTTAGTTAAGGAAAAGTCAGGCAAACTGAAATCAAAAACTGTCTGGCCGACAAGTTGTTCTGAGAAGAACTACAGATGACAAGTAAATCCAGAGTAGATTGCAATGATACACAGCTGTGCTTGAACTGGTGAAAGACTTTTAGCATAGTTAAGGATTTCTAAGGGTCTTTTTTAAAAAAGGTATAAAAAAGACCCTTAGAAAAGGTACAAAAAAGACTCCTAAAAAAAGGTATACAAAAGTCTCTTTAAAAAGGTATAAGAAAGACTCTTAGAAAATGTATAAGAAAGACTATTAAAAAGACCTTGGACTTCATAGAAAAACTCTTAGCATAGTAACGGATTCTAAACCCTCAAACGTATTTAGAGAGAGCTACTGTACAAAGTTATTTTGTTGTCATATAATGTTAGTTACCTTTTAGGAATAAAATATTAATATGGCTTATGTGATGCTTAGAGCACATAGTGATCAAGTTAGAGCACATAGTGGTCAAGTATGATAAAAGCAACAAAACAGGTTAGTTAAATACAAATAAATATAACAAAGTAGAAAATAACTCATTTTATAACAAATTAATAACATTTATAGGCAATTTCAAATAAAGGAGAGAAGGTAATGGTACAGGGTAAGTAAATGCGAAAAGGATGTGGTGAGAAATGCTTGATTCAGTGTGCAGAACATCTTACAGAACAATATTGTAAAGAACTGTTTGATTCATATTGGTTCCTGAAACATGATAAGAAGCACCAATACATTTTGGCTAAGGTAACAGAACAAGAATCAAAACAGTTTTCTAAAAAAGGAAAATAGGCACATAATAAAAAGAAAGAAACAAAAAACAGAACATTTGTATACAGCTTTCTATACCAAGAAAATACTGCTCTTTAAATGCAGTTTCTGTGCTTTATTGTATTACCTCTGTTACTTAAAATGTTTGTTGAGTTTGTTAAATGTTAATGATCCAGTTATTTAACTAAATAAATTTTTAAACCT